TTCCGACCTACTTACTTGCTGATCAGGGTCATTCACTATTAGTGTTACATGAGCCTTCTTGTAGAATGATTGCTGTATAGTAGGGTATTATGTAAAAGAAAACGGTAATCTTACCTTCAGCAGGCCATGCGATTTCTTCTCGTATTTTGATATTAGAATGACTAACAGTGATGTGGGTAGCATCTGCACTCCAGGAGAGATTACATAATTTTTTCTTACTCTCTCAGTCTACTATAGAATCTCTTCAGAATAAGGTAGACAATTCAATCATTTCTTAAAACTATTTAGAAGTGCCGTCCATCATACAGTGCACTTATGTACTTTGATTGTTTTAGATTTGATTTAGTAAAGATTGCTTTTCAATTTGCTTTAACATTGTGTTCAATATTTTTCGACTTCAAACTCTGTCTAAGTCAGATAATTCAGTTTAACCCCATAACATATTCCCTAATGTTATTCTAGCTATTGCGGTTGCTCTTACTATCACTAAAGTTGTCAGAACATCTAAGAATACCATAAATTGAAATATAAATTAAAAGTTTATACAAAATTGTATTACATACTTTTAAATTTTCATGCATTGTTTTACATTTATCAGCCTAAAGCAATATGATGCCTTGTCAGCTCCAGCATAAATGCATTTGCTGATGTTTTCATTATCATATTTGTTTACTGTATTATGGAAATATCATTGTAAGTGCATAATTTCTCAAAGGGCCGTTTTTTATTGCAACTGTTCTATAGCTTTTGAAAGAGAAAAGGACGTTTATTTTGTGTGTGTTTTTAGCATTATGTTGCCCATAGGAACAAAGTGAAAAATCAGTATAAAAATATGTATCTACAATTTCATCTATTACGAACTATGTGTTTGTTTGTTGTTGTTGTTTTTCAATGACAAGAAGAACAAAAATAACAATAAACAAATAAAAGCATATTTGCGCTCGAAAGAAATTTAAGCACTTGGTTATAAATATTGTTACGACAGCAGAAGCCCCGCGACGCTGGAAGCATGCGCTGGAGTTCTAGAAAGATCGAACGTCCTAGCGTTTGCTAGACGCCCTCTATTCCTGTATATAAGCGCGCCAGATAAAGCGGGACAATTAATCGGAATTGAATTGCAGACAGGCAGAGACAGAGACGGACAATTGAGTCAAGAGCGGTAGTGACCGTAAGTAAAGTGCGTGAATCGTTGTGAATTATAGCGTGTTTAAGTTAAATGACTGTGGAAATTAAGTGTATTGCCTAGTTGTATTCAGAAAGAATAAATTAGTTTTATTTAAGAAAGGACTTGTGTCGCTAAAGTTTCATCCGAAAGAAATTATACGGGAAATTAACAAACGACCAGAGACATAACAATATAAATAGTGTTATTTATGTTCTTTTCGTTGTATAAAAACAAAACAATTAGATAGATATTTTAATGAAGATGCTAAAACTTTTGCAGGATTCTTGCTCAAACACTAACACTAAATTGCTGTCACATTGTTGACTTTGAACAATGTTAACACTAAAATTGTGCAACATTGTTTTCATTCCACTTTATGCTAATACTAAATTTTTCCGACTGTCTTTTACTGTGCAGAATACTTTACTAAACTTTTGCATTATTATTTTATCACTAGCGAAGGTACCCGGCTTCGCACGGGTTATTACGTTGATATATTTTAGCAAGTGCATAAAATTTATCATGAAAGTAAAAATATCGATCCAATTTTAAACTTAAATCGTTTTTGAATTTAGGTATTTGCTGTTGTATCACCAATGTTTTTAATAAGAAACAAACTTCTTTAATCAACAAAGACTCGATATTAAGAAATCAACAAATATCATTCCGGTTTTGTTGTTTATACATTTCCTTTTTATACTTTAAGTTCATAGACTAACAACAATAATAGATTATACTTTTGTTGCTAAGCAACATGACATAAAAGCCATTGTTGGAACGATCTGTTACCAAAACGCACTGGCTTTTATATATTGTTGCGTCAGCGAAGTCACATGACT